TACTAAGGGGGGTTTTGGTTGGAGGGGGATGTGTGGTCGAGATAGTGTTGTATGAGCTATGAAATATGCGTCGCATGAGCTATTTTACGACTTACTTATCATGTTGCATTGCTTCTTGTTTCTCTAGTCCTGGTGATAAGCTACAATCTCTGCCCAGTACTTGCTTTCTTGTGAAGTCGTCGCTAACACCATTCCATCCCGCGCCCGTGGATGGGAATGGAGACGTACCGGTACGGACCTGACTCTCTCGGAAAATCAGCGACCAATATGCAACACTCAGAGTAATTGTAATCGGATCATCACGAGACGAACGCGAAGTTCATCCCCACATGTTCAACGGACACCTCCACCCGTGCTAGCGTGAGAGCTACGCGATTTGGGGCGTTGGCTTGGCGTGCGCGTCCCTGTTACATCATCGCTCTCAGCGCGCGTGCGAGCGAGAACTGCTGTGCCGCAACGATGCATCTTCACAGCTAATCATTCTACGACCTACGTGTACGTCGCACTGCGCACTGCGCATATTCTTATCGTTATATACATGTCGAGTTGAAGTAAGTCGCATTACCCGCTTCGCGCCGCTCAGCTTACCCCAGACGGTAAGATGCTCGGACTCCCTGATGCTTACAAGTTTCTAGCAGATTCGCGCGCCCTGAAACACCTTCCGTATACCACGACCGAACGACGGTACCTGATACCAAGCGAACACACTGTTCTCCACGACACGCTGTTATCCTCCTACGCTTTACCGTCGACGCAATCGCATTCTTGAACGGGACGATCCGCGACAATGGCAAGAAAGAGGGGTTATGAAGGAGGATATGGCAACAACAAGAATAAGAAACGAAAGCCCGACACGTCAAAGCCTGACACGCCAAAGCCGGCAGACGAGCTCATAGCCGATCTCGATAAACTCTATCGAAGACCTGCGCCGGAAGTAGCGGCGCGGACTGCGAGACTGCCTCGCTCCCAGCTTCCCATCGAAGAATGGGGACTGTTCGTTGACAAAGAGGCATTCGGCACATGTTATTCAATACTGGGACATGTGCCTGGTATATACGAGGAATATGAATATGCCAGGCACCATGTGCTTAAAGGCTTCAGTGGGAACGCAAGCCTGAAGCATTCGTCTGTCGATGAAGCATGGGCTTGGCTGCGCGCAAGGGCTCCCGCAGTCGACGAGGCACTTAATCGCCCAAAGGGTCGCGCTTGGCTGGCTCATCTGGGCGTTCGGTCTCAGCAACCTCAAGGCATTCAGCAGCATGGAGCGGTGCAACAACAACAAACATCTCAACAGCAACAACAATACCAGCAGCTTCAACAACAACACCAGCTCCAACCACAACACCAGCAGCTCCAACCACAACACCAGCTCCAACAACACCAGCAGCTTCAACAACATCAGCAAGTTCAACAGCATCAGCAGCTCCAACAGCATCCGCAGCACCAACAGCATCAGCAGCACCAACAGCTTCAGCAGCACCAACAGCTTCAGCAATACCAACAGCATCAACAGCTTCAACAACACCACCAACATCAACAGCTTCAGCAACTTCAACAGATTCAGCAGCTTCAACAGCTTCAACAGCACCAACTTCAACAGATTCAGCAGCTTCAACAGCACCAACAGACATCGATGACTTCAACTCCTCAGCGCGCATCCTCGTCGAACTCGAGGCCACCTGCCGGGTCTTCTGCCACCACCTCATCATCTCAAGCAATATCTGGGTCAGGCACAGGCAATCCTGAACCTGAGGTGACATTGAGTCGCGAGCAAGAGAGGGTGGTAGCTCGCATCATGCAAGGGCGCAACGTCTTCTACACTGGTTCGGCTGGCTGTGGAAAATCTGCTATCCTTAGAGCTTTTAAGACAAGACTGGGAGCTGCGGGCAAACGAGTCGACGTGATCGCACCAACCAACCTTGCTGCACTGAACGTGGGAGGTATCACGCTACACAGCTACGCGGGCTGGGTTCCGGTTGATAATCCAAAGAAAGATGATTATTCAATCGATGAGCTTAAGAAAAGACTTTTCAAGAAGAACAAGGACGAAAAGACCACTGCGTATCATTTCGAGCAAACTGATGTCCTTGTCATCGATGAGATCAGCATGGTGGATAGCAACTCCTTTCGCCGTTTGAACGAGGTGATGAAGTGTGCTAGAAAAAGCACTGCAGCGTTTGGTGGCGTACAGATGGTTGTCACAGGAGATGTATGTTGACAGGCCCACCTCAGTGAGTTCAACAGCTAACGACTGTAGTTTTGTCAGCTCCCACCAGTCAAGCCCTTCGAACGTTGTTACCGGTGCGGGAAAGTGCTTGTGGAACATGAGAGTAAGGATAAATGCATGACTCATCCGAAGAATGTTAAATGCACCGAGACCGAGTTTCTAGACAAAGATAAATGGGCTTTCCGTAGCGATGCGTGGCGGGTATGTAGTCTTTGCTTCTATGACTTCAATCGTGTTACTAAATACGGCAGGAATGTAATTTCGAATGCATTCATCTCACGAAGATTTATCGGCAAAGCGATCCAGTATTCCAGTCCATCCTGCAGGAATATCGCCTGAGTAAGTACATCAGATCTTGACGGCCTTGACTGTCTACGACATGCCAACATTACTAACAATGGTCAGCTGGCACAGTTCCGGAACATCTTCAGAGAATTTTGCTCCAACCGCGCCCAGAGCTGGAAGACGCCGTTGTGTTATTACCTAAGAATCACCTGGTCAAGAGAGTCAACCGGGAAAAGCTGAAGGAACTGAGCACGCCTGCTCTGGAGTATACATGCAGGGATCACTTCAACTTCAAAGATCATCACAAGGGTGATACTTACTTGCAAGAGATCGACAAGCAAAGACCACGCATCGTAGGTAACCAAACATCTGCGTCAGTAGTCACTGACACATATACAGGGTAGTCATCGTTACGACCACAAGGTGCAGCTCAAACAAGGCATGCGTGTTCTATTGCTGCAAAACCTGGCCCCGGAAGAGGATCTTGTCAACGGATCACAGGGCACGATAGTTGATTTCGAACCCTACGATGAGTCCAGGCTGCCCGACAAGGACAATGGACTCTCCGGCCCCCACGCGAAGTACTGTCACTACCAAATACTTGAATTCGCGCAGAAAAACGGCCGCCAGTCTTGGCCGGTCGTCAGATTCGACAACGGCCGAACCAGGACCATATTTGCGGACTGTATGGCGTCTGAATATGGACATCCCCCACCCTACAGCCTTCTTTCAAGGACGCAGATACCTTTGAGAGCTGGCTACGCCATGACCATCCATAAAGCACAGGTAAGAAGACAGCTCGACCGAACCGGCATCTATTCTGACAAGTGTACCAGGGCATGACACTTAGCAATGTCAAGGCTGATCTATGGACGGCCTGGGAAACAGAGATGGTATACGTAGCCCGTACGTACCCCTTTCACTTATCATCCAAACTGCGAATTGTGGCTAACGGTCCGCACAGTCAGCAGAGCGAGGTCTCTCGAAGGTCTGCATGTCGTGGCGCTTCCCAAAAAAGACCTAGGCGGGCCAAACCCGGAAGTCAAGGAGTTCCTTGATAGCTTCCCGCCAGAACACGACTAAGCACTGAGGCATGTTGCACGTGTCGTCAGCTTTCGGGAAATGTTCACGCGCATGGCGTCGGAATAGACATATGGCGCCGCCTTCATTCACGTTGTATATACTGCTTGTCTTGGAGTTTGGGATAGGGTGTCGTGGAGTGTTTTTTGGTAATAGATATCCCTCAATTTTACAATGCATCACATCACTTTTCGTCTCCATCTACATCTCCAACCCTATCTAATCTCTCGTTCTTCTTCGCACTCCCCTCCAACCCCGCCAAAATCGCCTTATCCTCCCCCGGTATCCGCATTTCAAACGTCTCCCTCACGACCGCATACTCATAATACCCACATCTGGCAATCGGTTCCGTCTTCCTCACATCGATCTTGCCGTCCGTCAAAACACGCTCATCGATGTGTACACCAACCACCTTCCCAATCACCACATCCGCCGACCCCATAGGCGGGTTTCCAGGAAGGCGTAGGGTGGTGTAGTACTCGCACTCAAACTTCACCGGACTCCTCTTAACCATCGGCACCATCATCTCCCTCCTGCCCTCCTTCCCTTCCTCCACAACCCCTACAGTACTTAACCGACTATCTTCCTTCTCCACCCCCGCCGTCTCAAACTCATCAACCCCATACTCTTCCTGCACTGCACTTCTATTCACCTCTTCTCTCAATTCATACGTCGCTAGACTCCAAACAAACTTGCCTGTAGCTTCGACGTTGCGGACTGTGTCTTTCTGGCTATTGGATGGTGTCTGGTTTGCGCTGAACATGACGTAGGGTGGGTCGAAGGTGAGGTTGTTGAATTGGGAGTAGGGGGCTAGGTTTGCGTGGCCGGTGGGGGAGAGGGTGGATATCCAGCCTATAGGGCGGGGGAGGACGCATGCCTAATGGGTGTTAGTTTGTGTATTTAGTTGACGATTAGGGACTTTTGGATGTCTCCAGTGAGGTTCATAGATATACATACTTTGAATGGATCATACGGTAGCCCGTGGTCTTCTTTTCCGGGTCGATAGAACATCGTGCCAGCAAGAGCTACGTCATGCAAAAGGCCACTTATCACTTTCTCTCAAACGCAGTCGAACTTGTGATGATTGTTGTACCACGACAACATCGCCAGATAGTCTTTATATCCTTCTTCAAAACCAAACCCGTAATGCGGGTCGATGCCCGTTTGCCGCCAACGGGTAGACTGCGGGGAACCATCGTCACCTCCAGATCGGCAAACCTAGGCGGCATGGACTAGGACCCTGAGGCTCTTCACCCCCACTACTTCCGACGCCAGGACTTTTTGTAGTATAGTTTCCTTTCAACAAAATTGCCACTTTGAGACATCTTTCGTAGTACATCGGCCATGGACTTGCATATGTTTTTCTGAGAACGCGCATAGCTCGACCATCACAACACCACAACCCAAAATGCCAACAGAAAGCATCATAATAACAGGCGCATCCTCGGGTCTCGGTCTCGCATTCATCCAGCACTACGCCTCCCTCCCAACACCGCCAAGCATAATAGCCATAGACAACCAGCCATTCTCTCCTCACATCGCGGAACAATATGGAGCCGTCGTTCATTCCAACCAAATCGACATTACCTCAGCCCAAAAGATCCAAGACCTCGCCTCTACCCTGACGTCTGGCCCAATAAGTCTCATCCTCCACTGCGCTGGTATCAGAGGGCTCGTACCAAGAATCGTCGCCGAACAGAAACAGGGCGACAAAGATGTTGCAGCCACCGAGACACTGGAGGCCATGGATCACGCAACTATGATGCGGACGTTTGAGATCAACACTTGGGGCACGCTTAACGTTGTTAAAACGTTCTTGTGGAATCTCCAACTCTCTGCTGATCAATCCGCATCGAAACCTAAAGTTGTCATCTTATCCTCCCGGATGGGCTCCATATCTGCGAACACGGCGGGTGGCGGGTACGCGTACCGCGCTAGTAAGGCGGCGTTGAACGCAGTAGTAAAGAGTCTTACCATCGATGTACCCGATGTGCAATTTTTGATGCTGCATCCTGGAAGAGTAGAAACGGGGTTAGTGGAGTGGAAAGAAGAAGGGGCGATTGGGGTGGAGGAGAGTGTGAAGGACTGCATGAGGGTTTTGGAACAGATGGATGAAGAAGGGTGGGAGAGTGGGAGGTTGGTAGATCGTTTCGGGGTGACCATTCCTTGGTAGGATGACGGTGGGAATCCGTCGAAGGAGGTGGAGGGGGATGGAGGGGAATGCGAGAGAAGAGGTGAGGAAAGATGATATATTTTCGCACGTATATATCCGCGCCTATCTGGCATTGTATTTTGAAATGAAATTGCTGAACCTCTGATCTCCCGCCTTCGCTCATCTATCCGTACATTCTCTCCCGCCTCAGATGTTCTTCCATAACGCCATAATATGCATGATTGAGATCGAACCACTCTTGTTCAACCAACGAGCTAAGAGATCAGCCGCGTGCTCGATTTGTGCTGATGGACACAACTCAAGCCACAACCGAAGCAGTGACGGTGGTGTAGTTAGTAACACCATCCATCGTTGTTCCTATAGGCTTCTTAGATGACGCCCGAGGAGTCTGTACGGTGGTGTAGTTGGTAATGCCTCCGATCCTTGTACCTGTAGGCTTGGCAGATGTAGGAGTCGCTGACGGATCATAACCGCTGTAGTATTTGCCGCCAGTGTGTGTGCCCACGGGCTTGGTGAATGTCGCCGATGATGCTTCCAATGCTGGAGCCGCCTCGGAAGCCGTCAACAAGAGACGTTTGTTGTGGAAGGTGATGAGAGTCGTGGAGGATGCTGAAGGGTCATAGGGAGTCATGTTATTACCGCCAGTTAAAGTGGCAGGCAGTGTCATAACCTTCGTTGACGTAATGACCGTTGTTACGGTAAATACCGTGGGCGCTGCGCCGTAGAGAACCTCGAAAGTTGTTGGAGCTGTGGCGGATACCGAAGAACTGTACGGGACGTAGCCAGATCCGTGAGTCAACGTCGCTGGCAAAGTTATGATCTTCGTAGTGGTGATGATGGTAGTCGTGACAGCTGGAAGGGGAGATTGCTCTGCAGTCATCGCTGAGAGGCGCTCATCTTTGGATGAAGTCATGGACGTTCGGAGCAGAGAAGGTAAGAGGCTGTTATCCTGGTAGCCAGCACCGGCATCGTTCTGATAAACTCTTACCGAGTTGATGAGATAGTACACTTCGTTGAACTTGTCGGGGTTGGTTGCAACGAAGTGAGCGCAAGATTCGTCGTGAGTCTCCGCTGCGCAGTGTGTGTAGCCAGACCATGCATTGCCTCCAGCCATGGAGCCGCAAAAGGTAATGTTGATGATCTGTTCCATGTTAGTAGGCACTCACATCCACGAAATTGAGTGCACTTACGATCTTCATCTTCTTGAACGTATTGCGAATATCGCAGCCATCCCCAACGAAGTTCATCACAGGCGTGCCCCATGTGTTGGGGTCAGGATTGGCGCTATCCCAACCCGATGGCTCGTGACCCCGAGGAAAGAACCATGCCTTGATGCCATCGTCCTCGACTTGGGATGCCCAGACACCGCCTCGGTTATCGTTGAAGGGTTGGCCGAAGGAGCCCTCGGGACCATTGACGCCGCAGTCGCGATGTTCCATGCATTCGAGGTCTGGGCGCGTCTCGCCTGATCCGCCATTGTCTCGCATCTTGCATGGGGTGTGACCGGTATGGAGGCTGAGCGAGTTCCGCGAGTTCATGGAGACACCCTCGATGATGTCGAACTCGGAGTACCAGTCCTCTTGATGACCTGTGTCGTGGAGAAGCCAGCTGCAGATGATTAGCATGTGTACATGTCTGACACGCCGCACAGACGATGATGAGCGCAAGAGAGAGTGCTGGAGTCGGTACTGACTCGAAAGTCCGAGAAGGTGAGGGATGGTGGGAAGTAAGACTCACAACGCAGGCCACATGCCACACCCACTAGGTAGGTGCTCAAAGTCGGCAATGAAGAGTCCGTTGTCGAACGTCTGCACTCCTTCCAGTCGGACGCTCTTGCGGCCATAGCCTTCACCGGGCTCTTGCGGAGGGAGTACTTGGGTTGTATCAACTCCGAGATGTACCTTACCGTCGTCGGTGCGTGCAAGTCCAAGTGAAGTTGCTTCTTCCTTGGAGACGTAGAGAGCCATGCCTTGGGTGAACTGGTCCCAGCCGTTGTAGAAACGGAAGGAGCCATCGTCGAAAAAGTTACTCGCGTTGTATTCCGCCTTGAGCTCGTAGCCTGTGGTGAGGCAGAGCACTGAGGCAGCGACGAGGAGGGTGCGTAAGATAGCCATGATTGATACTTGACTGTAAAGCTAGGGAAATGATAGGAAGTAGAGGTAGGGAGTGATGAGGAAGCTTGACGCAGAGAGGTTTGAATCATATAGTGGGTGCCCGTGCCCATACCGTCCCGCTTCGCTTGTAGTGAGAGAAGGAGGGAGGAAGGAGCGACCGGTAATACCAGAGCGGTGAGCAAAGTGAGAAAAACCGTGCTGAAGCAGATAGCCTTTGTCTATTACATCGCGGCATGAAGCAGAAATAATACGTGGTGCTTGAATGCTAAAGTAGCTCACACTATGCAGCTCGCAGTCTGTGATGGGTATAAGTATACAGTAGGTAAGGAAAGACGGCGTCGCACCGTGGAGTCAAAGCCAGCATGAGGATGTGGCTCGTGAAATGACTGACTGGCTTCTACAGAGGCGTGTATGACTGTTAGATGTTACGGCATGGACGCTCGAGCTGAGCAGCCAAGCACGCCACCAACTATCAGCCGTCTCTGAGTCAACACAGTGGTAGTAGCAAAGAAGCGCGTGCTCGATACATATGCGCACTCAACGGGGAGTGTGCCAGGTGACCTGGAGCCACTTGCGAAACGGCAGAGCATACCAGCATCATGCTTCATCACCCACCGTCTTCTCTACGTCGCCCTCGTGAACATCAGTCAAGGTGCCCTGGTCTTCCTCTCTTGACCTCGCACCTGAGATCTTGCTGGCAGTCTCCAGTCCTCTTTGAACATCCTGCACTAGCCCATCCAACGCGTCGAAGATGTCGCCTTGCTGTTCCCTCGCCTCGGTCAGCCTGTCCTGCCCAACTTCACCCTTGCCTTTGCCCTTGCTCTTCCTCGGTATGTCGATGCCTTGTATGCGCAGCATGTATCCTTGATCCGGCGAGTCCTCATCGAACGAGGGAGCTATCCGTACGTCCGTGTCGGTGATTTGCCACTCTGACGAAAGCGACTGCGCATCTTCGACTGTACGCCCGTCTGTGCCGACATCGATTATGAGGTAATGCTCCTTGACACCCGGTATGGGCGGGGGCAGCGGTGACTCGACTGGTGAGTCTTGCTCGTCTCCTTCTTCGCTCCCTTGGTTGCGTCGTCTCTCCCCTCCACCCGGCGCATCATGCGGGAGGTACCTTGTATCATCCAGCCCCAGGCCTCGCATCGATGCAGCAGTTATGATGGTCGGGTCGTCGTCGGCAAAGACATAGTGTGTATACGGGTGGTAGTGCTCGCCCGACGTCGTGTCTTCGATTAGGGTGAAGAAGGGTCGGAAATTCGGCGGTGGTAGCAGCGGTTGCTCGTCACTAGGCTCGGGGTAGGGTATGTCGTCCTCATCCTCGTCTTCTGGCGCATCGCCAGGCTGCTGTTGCTCGTGGAGCTCGTCGTCGGGAGGGTCTTCGGCGCGCTCTATTGACTTTGATCGTGGGGAAATCGATGCGCGACGATCTGAACGGTACTCTGCAGTGTTAGGGTAGCTAGACATGTTGTGGGAGTTGATGGAAGACTGGAGTTAACGGAGTTCGGGAGCTCTAGTAAGGTGCATGATCGATAAGGGCGTGGTCCATGCACACTACCTCATCAACCCCAAGGCAGCAAGTCAAGTACGGAATGCGGTGAAAGGCCCCTAGCTCAAAGGCTAAAGTATGTAATGCAGTCCTTAGGGTATCATCCAAATCCAAACGCCGAGAGTAACATCCGTGTGCAAACCAAGGTATTGAAGTGCCGCTTTCCCAGCTTCCATCATATGCCTGCAGATCGAGGTGACGACAAGCTTCACAACGAGTTTCCGTAATCGATCGCGTGATCCGAAAGCTACAGCGGGCTTGTATCGGGTTCTTGGGTCGGTGCCGGGGTTTCGGTGGCTGTCGGCGCGTCTTGACTCTTCGACTTGAAAGCTGGATGTACAAGTTAGCTGAAGATCTGGTAGGCCACTTGCGTACATACGTTGTCGGCACATGGGACACTTTTCTAAAGAGCTCTCTTGCTTCAACCAGGAGAAGATGCAGTGCTGAGACGTGTTAGTCTTTATCACCCAGGGTGACTTCATGGGTATGGAGGCGTACCATGTGAAAAGAGTGGTTGCACTCTCCCAGTACTATCTCACGTTAGTCTAGACCCAGCATCATCATGGCCAGACATACATAGCGGACACTCATCGCCAGGGAACTTGCACTTGGAGCAAGTGCTGTCGTAAGGGTTACGACAGATACCACAGACATCGTCGTCTGGCATATCCCAGCGCCACGCAGCGACGGCGTTCCACTCGCGTATAGTGACCTTCATCGTGTCTTTCGTCGCTTGGAAGGTAGAATTCGAGGTCGGCGCGTAGATTGGATGGAAAACAAGATCAACAGCACCAAAACATGCCGAGGCGGCAGTTTACGGCGGTGAGGGGCGGCGATTGCGCGTTAATTCCGCAGGGGTCTGAGCTCAAGCTGGAGCTCCACGCTGCAGAGCGACTATCACGCATCACAAACACACAATCACGCAATTTCTGTTATACAAACACGCCGTGCTATGGTGCATCTATCATGGCCATCTGATAGAGGCTACGCCACCGATTGCTGTCATAAGTCAATACAGGGGGCAAGGAGATCAGACCCTCTTCAGGTTTGTTGCAGTTCCCCGCACTAACGCTGAAGCTCGATGCGGACCCTCTACGCTGCACGAGGATTGTAGATTAGGGAAGCTTCACCTCGCCGTCTAGCTCCACAAATCTTGTTTCCTTCTTCCCTTCCTCGCCGACCAGAGACACCTTCTCAATTCACGGTAGCTATCATCAAATTTCAACATGTTCGTCTCACGCTTCAGCTGCTCTTTACGTCCGCTGTCTTCTATCACCTCCATCCGCTTCCACACAGCTGTAAGCAGCAGACGAACAATGTCTTCTCAACCGGCCCTCTCCTCTTATCTCGTCACGCCATCCGAGCTCAACTCGGCATTGAAGCACAATGCCAGCAAACTTTCTACAGAACCCCGCATTGTCCCACTTTGCGCTTCTTGGTTCTTGCCCAACGACGGTCGCAATGGCTACGACACCTTCCTTGCACAGCGCATCCCCCGCGCACGCTTCTTTGATCTCGATGCCGTCAAAGACATCCATTCGCCGTACCCGCACATGTTACCCACTCCCGAAGACTTCGCAATCGCAATGAGACATCTTGGTATACGACGGGAAGATAGCGTCGTTGTCTACGATACAAAGGAATTGGGCATCTTCTCTGCGCCGAGAGTGGGCTGGACGTTGCAGGTCTTTGGTCATCCGAAGGTGCATGTGCTGAACAACTTCCGCAAGTGGGTTGAGGAGGGCTTTCCAACGGAGAGTGGAGAGCCAAAGGACGTCGAGCCGACGGAGTATGCGGTGCCAAAGTTGGAAGAGGAGAAAGTCGTCGCTTTTGAAGAAGTGAAGGACATTGCGAAGGAATTGGGCAAGGAAGGCGCAGACGAAGTGCAGATACTGGATGCCCGTAGTCTTGGAAGATGGAAGGGCGTTGACCCAGAGCCCAGAGAAGGTATGTTCTGTCGCATGCGACACGTCCCAATTTGGCTAATCGATCTCATCAGGACTCTCATCTGGACACATTCCCTACTCCACCTCCGTACCAATCACAGATCTCCTGGACCCGAACGACAAGACCCTCCTTCCTGCCTCCGAACTCCAAGCCATCTTCAAGTCGAAGGGCGTAGATCCTTCCAAGCCAATCATAAATAGCTGCGGCACGGGTGTAACTGCAGCGATCATTGACGCTGCATTGTCGGAAGCTGACTACCCCACACAACAGAGACGGTTATACGATGGCAGTTGGACCGAGTGGGCTCAGCGCGTAAAGCCTGGTGAAGGTCTCATCCGGAAGACTGAGTAGGTTGGTCATGGCTATGAGACATCATTTCCTTCCAAAGTTGATACCCATTTCACTTTCGTGCATGTAATTTGTATTGACGAATATATGATGCTTTTCCGCCTCTATGACGATGATGAAGAATTAGAATGCATATCTAAAGTACAAATGTCGTATCCAACGATTACCAATAAAGGGGGGGTATATGCAAACACATATATGGTTCAGCCAAGAAGACTACCATATCCAAATAAGAAAATGCGCGACAGGCGGACGACTTGTACGAGAAGGGAAACGGTTTCGAATACACAACAAAAAACAAAGTAACGTGAAGGCAATGGCGCTGCCAAAGACTACAGCCACTCCTGCGATGCCTGCGATAATTGGGAGGAAGGAGGCAGTTGCGACGACGGAGGAATTTGCGACTGCGGAGGGGTCTGCAGTGCCGAAGGAGTTTGCAATGCCTGTAACCTCGTCGATGGCTGAGGGGTTTGTGGCGTTTGCGGTGTCTGCGACGCTTGCGATGGTTGAGGCAATTGCGATGACTGTAGCCCCACTAAAGAGTGCTCGGTCTGCGAAGACGGTGGCATTTGCGATGCCGAACCCAGCTGCTTCTTGGGGAAGTGCGTTTCGAAGAACTGCTTGACCAGCGGATCAGGCCCACCGAGATTCCTCTTAAGTGCTACAACCTTGAGGCCTTTGAGTGAGCGTGCTCTACTCACTGTCGAGCTGTCAGCATCAGTTGTCATTAATGGGATTGTGGTGTTGACTTACGAGCGACGTAGAACTGACTCGTCTCAAAAGCTTCCGCGAGATCGACAATGACACGATCCAGGGTCATGCCCTGAGACTTGTGCACAGTGATGGCATAGCCCGCCATGAGTGGGATCTGCGTTCTTGATAGCAAGTTGATTTTGCTGAAAGATCTGCCTTCGCTGGTGTCTCCAATTTCGGTGACAGGACACTCTGCGTAGATAGTCGTCGTTATACCATTGTCAAATTCAACAATCGGCCATGATGGTTTGCCATTCGCAAGGGCAAAACTTCTAATCTGCCACTGAGCATAATGAGCATGGTCACCTCTAAGACCATCCTCGCCGTTCTCTGCTACGCGTGGCAGCTTGCTGGCCTCGAAGGACTCAAAGCCAATGACGGTACCTTGTGCACCATTGAC